AGTGATGAATATGTATCAATTATTGAGCACTTAACAAGCTTATAATCAAGAATGAATATTCACTGTCACAGATTCAACAACAGTTGAATACAGTCAGAAACACTTAATATCTATCAAAGATTGATCTTTTCTCAGAATACTGACAGATTCATGTAGACAAACTATCAGTTCTATGAATCATATTTAATACACAATGAGAAAAGTTTGAATTTCTAGTAATATCATTCAGTCTGACAAATGCACTCATTATCTTTTAAATAATGATGAATACAATTCTTCATAAACAGAATGAAATCTCATATCTTATATATCTCAATGACATTCTAGACTTTTCAAACTCATACAATAAATATCTGAAACATCTCAATAAATGCTTACAACTCTGACAGAGTATAAGCTCTATATTAAATCAATCAAGTGTGTGTTTGAAATGAAAGAGTTGAAGTTTATAGAATATGTAGTAAGTGATAACTGTATACACCTCATTCTGAAGAAATTGAATGTTATAGTGAATTGACTGTGGCTGAGAAATATACATTATATATAACAGTTTCTTAAGTTGATCTCATATTACTGCAGATTTATCAAGAATTTCACACAAATATCTGCATCACTCTCAGATCTCTTAAGAGAAATGAATGCAAATCTGTGAAAGAAGAAGTTTCATTCAATCATCTGAAATACTGTGTGTGAAGAGGCTTTTCTCACACTGAGAGAATATATCACAACATTCTCAGTACTTATTCAATCAGATTGTAATAAATCTTTCTACATTGAGATGAATACATCTGAATGAGCTATCAGAGACACTCTTCTACAGATGAGTAAGAATGACAAGCTGTATCTGATGATGTATAATGATAGGAAACTATCAGGCGCTGAGCTTAATTACTCAGTGTATGAAATGAAATTGCTAGTGATCAAGCACATACTGGTGTTATGAGATAGATATATTAACAACAGGTATATAATAACAGTGATTACAGATTATGAAAGCCTCATCTATCTATAATCAATAACAAAACCTTTCAAACACTTAGTATGTTGAATCTCAGAGTTCTAAGTATACAATCTTTATATTAAATACTGAAAGAGATTGAATACTGTGATGTCTGATGCAATCAGTCACAGACCTGATTTCATGAGTGAGAGTTCTGTGAACCAGGTACAAGAAATGTTCATGTTAAACACACTGAGAGAATGCAAGGAATCAGAATGAGTGAACATTATAATCTCTTACTTAGAAAATGATAAGATATTGAATGATAAGTGTCTCATGAAAGTAGTAGAAGAGATGCTTCTGAACTTCAAGCTGGGAAAATTGAAAAACAATATTGTGCTTTACTGTGATCTAGAATATACAGAAGCTTTCTATCTAGAATCTTTATTTTAACATGACTTAATGACTCACATGCACAAGGAATTCAGTCACTTAGAAAGCTCTGAACTCATGAGTGTACTTGAATCAAGAGTATACTGGCCAAGCATGACTGAGAACATTCAGATGTATGCTCATGAGTGCTCAAATTGTCAGATTGTGAAAGAATCTAAGAAAGGGTTAGAATGTGAGAAAGTGCAACATCAGATGAAGTGTATGATACAACTGTTTGAATAATGAGAGATGAATCTTATAGACATATTACTATGAACATCAAATGAAAATCAATGAATAATCACTGCTATTGATTATGCTACTAGCTGGTCAGTCACAAAAGCAGTTTCAGAGATGATAGAGAAGATGATGATGAAGTTTCTACATAATGAGATCTATGTCAACTATGAAATACTGTGTGAGATTCTAACTGATAACAGTGTGAACCTTGTGAGAGAAGCAGTGAGGCATTTCATGAGCCAGTTACAGATAAGATATTATAGAACAATGCTATATCATCTATAGACAAATGAGAAGATGAAATGCTTGAATAAAATCTTGAGCAACATGCTGATGAAATATCTAGTGAACAAGTCTATGAGACTATGAGATGAATATCTCGGACAGGTGCTATTGATCACACAGATTCAACAGTATGCAGTCTTTAAGCATTCATTATTCTACCTGTTGTATGAATTGCATCCGCGCATCTCAGAGAATGCTTCAGAAAAGATGAGAGAGAAAACAGCAGTTGCAGACACAACAGTCACAGATGTGAAATCAAGATTGAAAGAGATCAGCTACACACACACAAAAGTTAACAAGTTACTTCTGAACTGAGCAATTCAATTGAAAAGAATATGAGACTCATTAGTTAAGAAATTGAGTCTCAAGATGAGAATATGAGTTCTTATACATAATGAGAGTTCTGAGAAGTTTCAATCTAGATGATTTGAGTTATATAAGATACTCAAATCACATTCTCTGAGAATGTATGCATTGAAAGAATCAGAGAGACAGATCTTATATAACTTAATCAATAATTCATGACTTATAAAAGCAAAGATATAAGATCTGAGTGAATTATAATTATTCACAGCACTATTATCAGTATTGAAAAAGAAGAGACTTATAATTGAAAAGTCTCACAAAGTAAGAGAAATTATAGATGCTTATAAATCAGATAATCTCACTTATTTCAATCTTTTCATGATTATGAGAAAAGATTGAGAAGTAATGAAGAAATCAGATGAATATTACACTTTAATAAGTGATGAAACTGTAGCTGATTGTATAATAACACACTGCAGACAGTGAATATAACACAGTAAAGAACAGTCTCAAAGTAGCAGACTTGCACATGAATCAGATCACAGAAGAAAAAGAAATTCAGAGTTGAATTTAACTGTTTATATCAGTTCAATTATGAAGATCACAGAGAATGAACTATCTGAAACATCTGCAGACACATGAGACCAAGTCATCTCAATTTCTGAGAATGCTCAGAGATTAGGTGAGATTAGTTTCAATGAGCTGTTCACTATAGTGATCTGAGCAGGTGAAGAGAGACAGTATAATATATAAGACAGAATCACAAAAGATGAAAGCTACTGAATCTAGTCACTGAACACTATATTATATAGAGATTGTGTAAGAGTAGTAACTAGCAGATAAAGAAAAAGTGTAAGAAAAGAAAAAAGATAATGAATTGATCATCAATCATAAGAGTCAGCTGTAAAAGACAAATGTTATTATACACACTTCATTCATTTTCATACATCACATGTTTAATCTATTTCCAACATCACATCATCTGAAAAATGCCAAAAAAGGAAATCTCAAAACTCAAGATCTGTAAGGGATTTGAGGGCCGCAAGCTGCTCTTGCAATAATATCATACATGTCTCTGATTTCTCTACTGCTCTGTGTACAACATTAATGTCATTTATTACAAGATTGACTGGAATGCTAATATAGAAATGTGTATGTGTATGCATAGAGAAATTGAAGAAGAGTACAGAACTTGCAGGATCAGAAGCCAGAGCAGAAGAGACAGAGATGAAAGAAATAGAAGAAGAAGAAGATACAGAACTGAATAAATGACAGCAGAAGTCATCTGAAGCTGAATACTTACAATCTGATATACACACAACCTTTCTCACAGAGAAGAGAGAGAAAGTAACAGAAGAAGCTTAGAAGTAGAAGAAAGTAGTCTCAGCAGTGTTATCATCTTCAATTAAAATGGTCTCTGGCATCAGAGTAACTAAGAACTATTATTAGCATACAAAACTGCAAAAGCAGAGATAACAATTACTGAATGAACACCTGCTGGCCTTAGAATTGTACATGCAATTACAACATGTACAAGACTTCTCAGAAAGAGAGAGAGAGACACAGAGAAATGCAGGAAGCAGAACACAGCATATAAACAGCTCATTCTCATGACAATATCTCAGACAGAGTGTACAAGCCTCACACCCGCAGGTGTAAAAGAGTATAACATTCATGTTCTCATTTCTGAAAACATGAATATTGCAGCATACATCACCTGTAGTGTATGCCAATCACGTATCATACATGTAAAAAGGTAAATCTTGTCTTATTCTTCAAGATGGAGATGGGCGGACGCCCCTATATATATATATATACATGCTTGTTTGTTTATTGTGATTGACTTTTACAGAAGGAAGAAGTGGAAGCCTCAGAAAGAAAGAGATGAAAGTCTCAGAAAGAAAGAGATGAAAGTCTCAGAAAGAAAGAGATAGAAGCCTCAGAAAGAAAGAGACAGAAGTCTCAGAAAGAAGTGAAAGTCTCAGAAAGAAAGAGACAGAAGTCTCAGAAAGTAGCAAGAGTGAATGTCACAGTTCCTCTGTTCAAAAAGAGGTGAACATCTGAAAATGAGATGACAGAAAAAAAAGCTAAACCTAATAAGAGATGAGTTAGGCATTTTTCAGATGTGAGTTAATATCCTCCTTGTGTGAAGAGTGGCTAAAGAAAGAAGTTGAAACAATGAGATGATAATGACACAGTGATAAAGAGTCTGAGATAATAAGATAATAGATATCATAGAGAATCTTTATCTTTCATGAATATTATATAAGTACAATGAGGCAATAATGAAACAATGACTATGAATGAGATAAAGAATCTGAGACAACAAGGTGATAGAAGTCATAAGAATGAATAAATAGATGAAAGATGAAGAACTGTAAAATGCAGAGTGAACATGAGTTAAAGAGAACAAGAGAATTGAGAATGATAAAGAGACAGATCTTCTTGCAGAAGGCTGAGAGTGATGTAAATGAATAATCTGTAAGTATATAATGTGATCAGTTATCTCTCTCTTCTTATTTTTCTTTTCTCTTTCTTATTATCTTTTCATCATCATTTCTATTATCATAAAAAATTTTCATTGAAATCTAGAGAACTTGCAGCAATGAGTTCAAGAAAGGTATTCAGAATATCAGATATGAGAGAAGTGATTGATCAGATTGATCATCTTGACAGAGATAGCACAAGAAGAGTGTTGAAAAAGTTATTTCAGTCATTGAGTTAGAAAGAGTGTAATGCCCTTCTTGAGGCTGCAGAGAAGATAAATAAAATCAAAGAGTCAGAATCTCATTCTTCAATGTCTAAGATAGTTTCAAGAAGTGATGAAGAAAAGACAGTTATGCCTCATCATCAGTCAGCTAGATTACATGGTCAGGAAGCCGCAGATGAGTCAGTGAAGAAATCTGAGAGTAGAAGCTCAAAAGATTCAGATGTGACTGTAGAGAGATTTAAACAGAAGTTTATTATATCATTCACTGAGCTGAAGAAGTCATGGTCTTCAAATACACATGAATTCTCTGACAGAGATACAGATGCAGAGGCAGTGACTGAAGACAAGATGAAGTCAGTAGCTCAGGTAGAAGTGAAAGTGAAGTCAGCAGTGAAAGACATTCATGAGAAGAAAGATGAAGAGAAACCAGAGTCAACTGAAGCAGATAAACAGTAATGAAGAGATAGTCAGAAGCAATGTAACACATTAGGGAATAATGTACTGAGAAGAATGAAGTGAAAGAGAGTTGTTGAAGATGATCAGATACCTTGACTGTGAGATATGACTTATATATGCCATCTGCATTATGATGACAAAACCAATCTATACTTTCAGAAGAATGAGAAGCCAGCCCAGCTGAGTGTATTGATAATGCAGAATTCAACTGTAGAAGAACTTGTGAACACTGTATCAATCATTGAAAGACTCACAGAATGCAGTGAGAAAATGTCATTTATGAATCACAAATTTTTTATCCTGTTCAGTCAGTGATTGATCAAGCAGCTGAGATGAATACTCATGCAATGAAAGTTGCAGTGACAGATAATAAATGATGACTTAATTATTCTGAGAACAGTTGATTTCAAAGGTTCAGCTAATCAGAATATCATCATTCTTCAAACTCATGAAGAAGTAGCTCTCATGCCTTGTCAGTCTTGTACAGTGAGTCATGAGTGATTTGAAGAGTATATAATTACTTCTTCAGATGACAACTGAACTCAGCAGAGACATGGCACTTGCATTAACTATCAGTGAGATAACAAGAGTGTTCACTGTTCTTTAAATTGTTGTAGCTGATACAGGTTTGGAAAAAACACTGACAATCTGCTGTTTGAGAAAAGTGTGCTGAGGTTTGAGAAGACTGTGAGTGCAGACAGAGATGACACTATCAAAGATAGTAATATGAATGAAAACAATTTGATCTTTATCTCTGCTGAGAAGATTCTCACTTTCTTGAAATGAAAGATCTTGAGTTCAGTTACTCTGAAACCTATCAAGCACATCTGAATTAGTGAGAGAGATGCTAGTTCAACTTCTATCAGAGTGATCAAGAACATCAAGATAAGTGATAGATAGCAGTTATCAATTTTATCTTCTGAGAATCAGACTATTAACTGTATGACATAGAATCTGAAGATGTTGAGACAGTCATCTAATCTTGATAAATATAATCTGAACACTGTACAGATCACTTGAAAGAAGTTAGATAAGATTGAGAAATTTGCTAATGTGATCTCAGCTGCGGATGACATCATCAATGACAATCATTTCTTCAAGCTGCCTAGTGAGACACACTTCAGTGATCTCATGAATAACAGCCTGTTAGCAGACATTGCATTCTGAGACACATGCCTTGCTAAACAGAAGGTGAAGCTGTAACATGAGCTTGAGAATGATTGATGAGAGACTTGAGATGAATATGATGAGTGAAAGATCTCTAATTTTGCTTTTCTTTATTCTATTTTCTTCTTTTTTCTTTTTCTTCTGCAGTCAGTAATTAAAAATAGTGATAATGAATTTTCTTTTCTTTTCTTTTTTTTCTCTTTTTTCTTGTTACTTCTACTCATAACATCCTCTTTCTTATTCATTTCTCTTAGGCTTGACATGATCGCCCGCGAGACCTCTTGATCATGAAGACTTTGACAAGATCTGAAGTATTCTCTGTGATCATGTCAAGAAGTTCTCAGGTCAGGTCTTCATATTCTCTTCACTTGATCTGAAGATATGTTTTTCCTCTCTCTGTGCATTTGCTGATAATCTTTTCAATTTCAAATTAAGACTGATTAGTCACAATGACTGACTCTGAAGATGAATATTTGAGATCTGCAGAATGTAGAAGTGTTTTTTTCAAATGAATGACAGAAATAACAGAGTGCATGCATCACTTGAGAAGAAGTAGTAGATGAAAGACAACATCAGAGACTTTCATCATAATCTCAAACAGGTCAGTCTGCAGAGACAAGATCTTTGAAGATTCTCAAACAGTATATTCTTTTTCATTCTTACAGGCCAGGTTAAGGAAGACAAAGTCATTCATCTTGATAACTGATTGAGCATGGGAGCAGTTGAAGAATTCCACCATTTTGACCTTTACAAGAGTGTATAAATCTAGAACATTCTGCTGTACAGTGTTATGAACTGTGATGAATTCAGCTGCATCTGTCAGAGCTTCTTTATTTCTCAGCAGCAGTTATCTCAGCTTGACTTCTGTGAGCAATTCAAATGAGAAGACTATCACTGAGTGAGCAGCTACTGAGTTCAGGGCTCTTTTCACCTGATTGAGTAGAGTTCTTCAAGATGATTCATACTTGTCTATGAGGAGTGCTTGCAAGGTGATTTCAACAGTGAGATTGATTCACTCACTCTGGCCATTTGAATGAGAATTGTAGGCGGTTGTTATCCAGCTCTTGATTCTCATCTGTTGAAGAATGCTCTTTCAAAATTATGACATGAATTTGAGATCTCTATCTGAGATAATAATCAGTGAGGGCTGTCAGTGACAGACTACTTCTCTGTAGAACTCTTTCACTCATTGCAAAGTGTTTCATTTCTCTTGTCCAGCAATCAGAATGACAGCTTTTGAGAATTTATCTGTGACTGTCAGTATTATGTTGCAGCTGTCACTTATCAGCAATCTCATAATGAAATCAATTGACAGAACCTTAAATGATTCTTTCAGAAATGAGATGAGATGTGATTTCCCTCACTGAGAGTGATTTGATAACTTAGACAGTTAGCAATTAAGATAATATGAGATGTAATTGAGAATCTGTTTATAAGTATGAGATAAGAAGAAGAATCAGTGCACAATGTCTTCTGTTTAATGAAGACTCAGGTGTTCAGCAGCATCATGACACATGTGAATGAGGTCTTCTGCTAAGGTCTGTGTAATACAGAGATGATTATTAACAAAGAACAGAAGACTGTCTTGAAGTGTAAATGAATGATATTTTCTCTCTCACATCACTTTATAATAGATCTTTCCCAAGGTTGAATCAGCTGATAGATTCTTATGCAATTGATCTTTGATATTATTTGAGAGAATGATGTCTATATTGAATACAGCAGTAACAAACTCATTCTTGATTTCATTGACTTGCTGAGTGAGTGCTTAGTGTATCTTTTCTTGATCATCTTGAGAAATCTCTTTCAAATTGTCTGTGAGAGTGTGTAATCAGAAGAGAGTATCAACATTATAATGTAAAGTGTCTTTACAATAGCGGATTTTCATGCGCGGGATATACATGCTAAGAGTCAGAGCTCAATTCATCAATCAATTGCTTCAATAATCTGTGACAGATGACTGAAGAATAAATATGAGTGTAATGTGATCAGTCATAATAATGAATTCATCATCAAGATATTGAGAAAGCTTTTTCAGAGCTCACATCAATCTCAAGCACTCTAATTCAGTCACTCAATACTGTCTCTCTGCCGGGTTCAATCATCATGATAGAAATAGAATGAGTCTCTCAATCTCATCAGCACTCATCTGATGCAGCGCGATCTCTATTCCATGCTGTTTGCTAGAATTCATATACACAATGAACAGTCACTTGAAGTCAGAGTATGCTCTCATGAGAGCATTCATTAAGGCCTGTTTGACAGTATTGAAGAAAAGTTGAGTCTCTGTGAGTAGAGCTTGGAATTGCAGAAATGCTTCAAACTCAATCAATTTAATTCTTGCTGTGTATGATGCTCTTTTCTGACCTGTTCAGAGGCTGTTACACAGCATTCTGGTTTTAAGTGTTTTCAGTGCTTCTATCTTATCTGCATAGAAGTTCACAAAGTCATGATAGTAGTTGAAGAGACTGATAATTCTCTTCAGCTCTTCAAGAGTTATAGAAAAGGCCAGATTTATAATAGCAACTATCTTCTTCTTCTGAGTGAATATTCTCAGTCAGTCAACATAATAACTCAGTAAACACACAGAGGAATAGATGAAATGATATTTGAATAAGAACATCATCACTCTGAATATCTTGAGAGCAGTGAATACTGTCTGCATGTGATGAAGATGATCATTTAGCAAACATAAGAAGATGATGATGTTGTTAACATAGATCAAGATGAACTGTCACAAGAATTGTGCCAGTATCTCTTTCATACATTGCTGGAAGAATCCAGGTGAGATTGTCAATCTCATTGTAGCAACTGTAAAGCATTCAAGCTCTCAGTGTGATGTGATGAAGATGATTTTAAAGCAATCAGAATCTTCTATGAGCTGTTGAAAGAAGTCTTGACAGATATTTATTAATGAGAATACTATGAAACTGCTCAATAACTGCAGAACATTCTGCTGTATCAGTAAAGAATACACATTTGAAAACAATTGTAGATTGATCTTCTGTAAGTTCACAATCACACACAGTTTCTCTTTATATCAGATTATGAATACAGAGAAAGTGATAGAGTTCTTGACCTTAAGAAGAACTCTCTCAATTCTCTTATTTTGAACAAGCAGGTTCAAGATTTGATCAGCTGCTTCTCAATCCCTCTATGAGAGAGAATATGATTGCTGCTTCAGTTCAGAAAAATCATCTTCATTAATGAATTATAGTGATATCTTCACATTATCTGAAAATAATCTCAGATTGAGATTAAAAAGTTTGTGATGTTAATCAATGATCTTCTGAATTATCTCATGATCATCTGCTATTCAGTGATCTAATATCTGTGCTTCAACTCACTCAGTGAGAGTGTCTGCTGTGAGAATCTGAAGAGAATTGTCATGATCTTCTGTGTCTGTTAATAGAAATAATTCCATATATGAGATAGAAAACAGGGGCAACTTCTCAATTGAATTATTATTGATAACATTGATATCTGCAGAGCAGATGACAATTCTTTTTTACTTTTGTAATAAGAAAGAGTTTTTACTCACATAAATAGTGTCTCTGATGATCTTGACATTTATAGCATATTTTTCATGAAATATAATACACTCATTATGAACATTGATGATGACTCTTACTAATGATAATATATCATTTGCTATAATCATATTGCATCTGAGATACTGCATCAGATGAAATTCACTCTTCAGATGAAAAAGAGCCTCATCATCTGTCTTTAGAGTAAGAGCTGTTAATATGAATAGGTTTGATTCATTTGTATCTGAATCAACTTCTCAAATGTGCATATATTGATTATGTGACAGAGCAGCTGACTGATAT